TTTTTTTTTTTTTTTTTTTTTTTTGGAGAGACACGTTCTAAAAAATGCATATTCCTGTGAAATAAGACTTCCCGAAACTGTATGAATAGTATGAGACAAACAAAAAATACCCTAGATACGAAGCTTTGTATAGCAGCTTCATGTTCCTTAGCAGCATTTGCTCGAGCAGAGCATCGTCCTTCTAGAGCTTGTAAACAAGACTGCACCAATTCAGAACGATTCCATTGAGCCCCACGATGTTCCGTGTGGCCGTTCATCAAATGACAAGTACTGTAAAAATAAATTTAAAAAATGTCGTGGTTATATCGATTTTAACACAAAAACCGCTTTTTAATTCCTAAGTAAATGTTAGCAGAGCTAAACACAACATTAATATAGCCAGAAAGACAAAATTAAGATGAAGATCCGAATCCACATGGACTGAAGTTGAAGAAAAACACAGTTCTTTAGTCAGAAGAGAAAGAATAAACAAATGAAATCTAACGTTTTCTATATAGAAGTTCTTCCAGAACGAACTTACCTAAACAAAAATGAAAGAAACACCGGCACTTGATAACAGATGTAAGTAAACTAAAATGATCAAAGAGACTTGTAAAAAAAATAGTTGTAAAGCTGGGAATTTAAATTATTGATATTTTTGAATTATTCCAAAGAAATCGATCGAAACCTTGACTCTAAGAAGTTATATAGAAGAAGATAATTGCATCAAAAATGGAAAAATTGAAGCAAATGCAAATTTGACTGATCAAAGATCAATCATACATTAAAAAAAAATAATTCTTATATACTCTTCAAATTTTTTAAAAGTTCGCAAAAAAATTTACCAGTTGTACATAAAGCAAAGGTGAGTCCGTTTCCAAATTAAAGAGATCTAGTAGAAAAAGCAGATCGTCTACATTTGCTACAAATCTTTTCGTGAGCTCAAAAAATTTTTTAATGTTCTTTAAGGTAGAGTTAGTAATGTACATGGTTTAATATGGAAGCCTTGACTATATACCAAGAAATTCTGAAGGGTGGCAGAGAGTAAACAATCCCAGCTGCAAATCTAAAAAAATGCGTCTCTAAAGACTTAAAACATTCTGTTCATTCTCTTAGCGTCATAGAGCTATCACATCTGTCTCATCTAAACTTTATTATTATAATGTTCCACTTCTCTTTTCTGTTCATTTTGGCATTAAGTGTTCAAAAAACAAATTATAAAATAAAAAAATAATAATCTGACTTTTTCCAAAAACGTAAGCCCTTCTCAATTCTGTGTTTCTTTCCTGCTTCCAAATAACTAAAAATGTTTTAAAAAAGCATTCTAGTTTATAAGATTTGCCCTAGTGCCGACTTCAAGGCTGAAGTGGATAACTGACTGCACTTAGATGTTCTCTCCAGCAATAGGGTCGTTCCAAAATGCAAGAGAAGGGTGTTAGATCTGCCGACAGGTAAACGCATACTGTGCAGGGCTAAAACAGCTCAATATTTCAGAAACATCAATAACACGATATGCATTTTCTACAGCTCCGTGTAGTAACTTCCCTACGATTTTTTAGAAATCCTCGAGTACTGCCACTTTCGATTCTTTCTTCGCCACATCCAACGCGTAATGAATAAATTGGTATTAGTTTGATAAAATTACTTTCTAATCTCAAAATTATTAAATTCAATGTAGTGAATGAGAGAATAGCAATATACACATAAGGATTTTTTGGTTTTCTTAATTTGGTCAAAAAAAACCAGTCTTCCATGACAATTCTGATACTTCTTGAACACTTAATCAACTGAACTGATAAGCCTTTAATGATCACTACCATTCCATACAGCACATTTCTTCTAACCTCCTATTGATTTCAAATTTCAGAAAACGACCCAATTCTTACAAAAAAAAAATTTTTTTTTTGTGAAATCAAATTCCAGCATCTTATGCCAAATGGAATTGAAACTTATTTGACGGTAATAGTTTGTGCCAGGTCTTATAAAGTAGAGAACTGCGACGCTGTGCACTATGCGATACTTTTATAACAGTTAGTTATTTCAGGTGCTCTTAACCCTATTTACAATGTTACAGCTTCAAGAGCTCAGATGATTAACTGGATGCCTCACTTAAAACAAATATTGTACTAACGACTTTCTTTTCCGTGTTAACAAATGAATGTGACTAGATTTTCTACTAAAAAGCTGCCCTTGAGAAGTAAATAAGTAAAACCTATCGAAATCAATCTCATAACACTTCGTTTTTTCTCATGTGCTTTTCGCTTTGTGAATATTCCGCTTGATTGCATCAGTTCTGCATTCAAACACTGACTGAAAGTTGAAACTTTAGTTTGTTCCCAACCAACAGCAGCATTTGAATCCACACCAAAAAAAACCTCTGTGATGACAACTGGTAACGTGAAACACATCAGGTTTTTCGCCGGAGCTTAGGCATGGTTTTCTCCTCCCTTATTATTGATATTCCCTTTCCCACACTGAATTCCAACAAATTTTACGACACATAAACAAACAAAAAATTATAACTTAATCTTTTTGAAACAAGACTACAATTCAGTCTCTAATAAATCAGCAAAGCTTATAGTTAAATTTACCAATTGTTCTCTTCTAAAACCAGTTATCTTTCTGAGAGTTTTCGATTAACTCTTTGTTCAGCTGCTAATGTCGATTTAGGGCAAAGCAAAGCTAAAAGCGTAATAAGAAACAGCGCAAAATAGTTTTAAAATTACAGTCTAATACTTCAGACTTGTAATGACGAACAGTTGCCTTGCCAATATCACTGCAGAGCCGCTGAAAAATGAGTTAACAACAAACTGCTTGATAGGCGCATTAAGGAAGACTAGAAACTTGAAAAAAGCGATAAGATCTGTGCAAGAAAAGGGCACAGATAGTTTTGAAGCAAGAAAAGTTAGACTTATAAAAAACTCTAAAATTTTTAGCAATTTTTTGTTTACCACCTTCCCTAAGCAAAAACAATATCCCTCTTAATAAACACCCCGCATAAGCTTGATAAGACCGACTGCTAACAAGTAGAAAATAATAGAATTAATTTGGAAGCAAACGTTGACAGAAAGCATTGTAGACTAACATAAATCGCAAAAACTCGGTTATTAAAATTAATCAAATATATGCAGTAAAGTCATTCTCCAAACACCACCATAGTTTTACACCCACTGACTACAGACCTTTTCATTTTACAAAACACACTTGCAGTCACTTGCTTAGACTAAAAGTGCGAGAACAGATGTCAACATTTGTCTGCCACTAATCCTCACAGCTTCTGCATTTAAAGCATTATATGCCAGAAGCTGCATCTTCTTTTAAAATGATGATAACCAAATTTGTAAGCAACTAGAAATTGCTCTTCGCCTTTTTTTTACAATTTTTTCATTGCATCAAGGAGTTTATAGCATCTAGTCCTAACTTTGTATTAGAATATTTTCAATCGATAAAAATTACTGTTTATTAGCCAACACTTTTATAGCTTTAGAAATAGAGTTTTCTTTTCGCAATGTTGTGAAGTAAAAATTGTACTTAAGTGGTGGGAAGAAAAATTAGCAACCATAGTCCAATTAAATGCCTCAAAAAATGTGTTGTTTAAACAACGCAACACTTCTTGGAGAACCAAACTAAGGTTCATGTTCATATAACCTTTCGATTGTTCAGTTTTTGTTAGCTCAGTCTGTAAATTCGTATTAAAAAACTGGGGTAAGTTCAGAGGGAGCAAAAGAGCTTCTCAAAAGTGAAGAACCAAACAAAGAATTTTCAAAACGTCCAGAATAACTTTCCTGTTATCTTAAAAAGTAATAATTGCAATACTTAGAAAAACTTAGCTGCTGCTTATTAAAAATAACTCTTCATAATTATGCCTTCAAAAGTTCATTACGAAACTGACAATTGTAAATTTGAAAACAGTGAAAAAAAAGAGAGAAATTGCGTATTCTGCACTCATTAGCACCACAATGACAAGCACTTCCCGTAATCACGCCTGCTTTCTCAGTATTCATCTTGCAACCAACACTTGGTATCTTCCTCTCTGACAACTCTTCAGTTGCCCGTTTTTTCAGTTCACTATCATTCTTCGCAAAAAATGTGAATTCTCTAGTTCCAAAATCGTTAAAACATTAAGAAACCTTAATGCAGATTCGTCGCGGTTAATGATTTTTTTGCTTTTGTTTTCTTAACTGAATATGTGTTGTTAAAAATGAATAAATGCTTAAGTAGGAAAAGTTATTGTTCAAAAATTATAGTAGTCATGTTGTTTGTTGACGAGAAAGGATGGAAAAGTTTGAGTAAAAAAGGATAACAAAATGAGAGTGAAGATAAAATGCATCAATGAAATGCGCAAAGAGATTGTTAGTAAGAGTTTTCACACAGGCGTGCTTAACTGCTGCCGGCCATGTTCAATAAGCAGCATTCGTTGGCCACCGAATGTCCTCATCCTCATCACATTTTTATCCCCTCCCTTTCCCCATCCCCC